GTTCCAAACGCTCATCATAGTGAGTCAGAACCACATTTACAAAACTTCGATTCCATGCATCTCTGACATGCTTATATAAATTGAGTTATAGTGGAAAGAGAAGAAAATAAAGTATAATTCTTTAGACAAATGAAAAGAATGTTTGAAAAATTTCCAATTTTATAAAAATATTACTGACTAACACGAATGCAAGGAAATAAATAAAATAATGCAGTTATTCTCTCATTCATATTCATTAAACGTTCGTTTATACAAGATAAAAAACATACTGGATTTCTGATACAGTAGAAAAAGTAACTTTTCCTGAAGTTTTTTAAAAATGATTGGGCAAAATATTACTTTTTTCTCTTTTTGTTTGAGCTAAATATATATTTCTTTATTCTTCATTGTTCGTCATTAAAGAAGTAATTTTTTATTGCAAATAAAACGTGATTATACTTTTTTTATTTTGTAGCTCACTGTTCGATTAAAGATTTTTTAAGGTTTCAAATGTAAGTATTCAAGAAAAATCTTTTCTTCTATACTCACTTTCAATATTTAGTAAAAAATATGTAACATATTTTTCATTTATCAATGTTATTCAGTTTTATGTATAAAAAAAAATTTAACTAAGGGCAATTTTGTTTTATTCTGTTATATCTTAAATCATGATATAGTAAAATAGCCTCTCGTGCTATACTTAGTGGTGAACTGGAACGCTTTTGAAACAAAACTTAAGTATATATANAAACTATATATATATTCATTATCGGCTGAAACCGGCAGTTCATAAAATTTTAATGCTAAAGCGCTACAATTTAATAGGACTGCCTAAGATGTTGACCGTAGGTATTTAAGTCTGTCTAAGATGTTTAAGACTGTCTGAGGATGTTATCGGAAAGTGTTATGTGTTAAGTTCATCAGTAAGTTATCAGGACATATCGGTACCTTGATTCATAATTTCATACAAATTTGCAACAAACTTACTATACTTTGCGGTTCAATTTAATTCCTTATTATCATATGTAAAAAACTTCAATCGCTTTCAAATTATCTCGATAGCAAATAACAGCGATTTGAAATTTTTTTTATCTCAACGTTTTTTTTAATTTCAAATCACTTTCATATTTTCACATTCACACCTGGCAACTCTTGAAATTGAGCGCCTATTTTTGAAGCGCTTGAAACATGTCCTCTTTTTGCTATCGATTTATTTTTGACCGAATTAAGTTTTTAATCTGGTAATATCTTACCTCTTCAGTTTCTTGCTATTATTTTTCAATAGTATCATGTAATTAAATTTAAATTTTTAACTTAAGTTTAACGTTTAATATTTGGCACCAGAATAGGGTTTCGAAAAATTGGAGCGATATTATGATTCACCAGCTTCCAAAATAAAAGATTTGCACAGTAATAAGAAAATATTTAGACTAACTTTAACTAATAAATAAAATAAAATTATTTTGTTAAATGGTTCTTGCTTCTAAGAGCACGGTATAGCCATTTCTGGCTCTTGTCCAAAAAAATACCAACTAGCTAACTTCGTTCAAACAAAGATAGAAGCTGTCTTAAATTATATTAATCTATTTTTTGTAGTTATACTTTTAGGAATAATTTAAATAGATTTCGATAATGTAAGGTAAAAACTAAATAAAATTTTTGAAAGGAGTTTTTTCATATAAGAAAAACCTTTTACCTTTTTCAGATTTAATAATGAAAAAAATATTAGTTATAAAACTTCCAGAATAAATTAGATTTGAATAAAAACAGTCATACTCTAATTGCTTGTTTTATAATTTATATAAAGTAAACGTTAATAACTCGACAAAAAACTATTTGACTAACAGAAAAAGTTACATTAAGTTAAATTTGATATCAAGTATTTGCGCTAACTATTTTGTAAAGAAAATATAAAAATTGCAAAGGAAATGAAAAGCTTAATTTTATTTTTACTAAGGAATTCGATTAACTCTTGTTCCACAAAACTAGTTAACTTTACAAATGAAACGTTTTATCAAACTTAACTAAATATTTAGTTTCTTAAGAAATATGAAATAGAGTTCTTAAAATTACATAAAAGTTTAAAATATTTTTTACGAGCTGTTTTTGGAGAAAAATCAGATAAGTACATTATCCGCAACCATGTTATCTCTAAAGCTATTGATCTTATACTTAATGCTTTTTACAAATAAAGTAAAAAAAAAAAATACTTTAAACTGTTGAAACTGTTTCAACAGTATTTTTTCTCAATGATTTTATTTTCACTTTTTAAACACAAGGAAGAATGTTACAGCTTTCAGCAATGCGAACTCAAAACATTAAATTGGTTTTTCTAAGGCAACAAATATCTTACTGAAATTGCTTTTCTAAGGAATTTAAAATTATTCTTTAACGTTTTCAAGGAACAGAGTTTCGAAACTCATTAGTTTTCCTTACTCTTTTCATGAACTTTCCTAGAAGAAAACGTTTGGTTAATAACTAATATTTACGCGTGTTTTTATTTCTGATTATGCTATAACTTCTTATTATAATGCGGTAAATACTATGTTTAAATTAATTATTTCAATCTGGAAGTTTGACTTTTAAGTGACTTTTGACTTATTTTAATGATGTGCTTTTTTATGAGTAACAATACTCTATTAATGTGCATAGCGTGAATTTTACCACAGTACTTAATGCTCTTACTTATTTTTCTGTGCCAGTTTTCTTCAATTAAAAAGTAACTTTATTATTTGTTTCTAATGGAAATGTGAACGCTCATAAAACGGGGGTCTCACAACAAGGGTGCCCTTGTGAACTAATTTCAGGCCGGGATAGCATGGTCGGTAAGGCGCTGGGCCTATGTCCGAGAGTTCGTGGGTTCGAACCCCGCCAGCTGAAGACTCCCCGTGTAGTTGGTGACTGATGCACGTTAAAATTCTGTCAAGTCCCAAAGTCTCATAACAAATCAATACCTCTGGGGGTACTGGATTGGAGATCGATCGTTCTCTGATACAGGTCAGAATTACGATCTGTGGATGAATGGATGTATGAATGGGTTCGCCTTATAAAACATGTTTGACGTATGATGTCGAATTTCGGCCATAGATGGCGCCACTGAAAAACAAGAATCGCACTCTCTGCCTTAAATTTGCTCGGTTTCACCAAGCAGGCTTACCCGTGTGGCAAGTGGCATTAGAACCAACCAACCAGAATCACGTTTTGAAAAGAATGATTGTTGGGATAAATTTATTAATTCACATATAATTTGTTTATAAATAAAAATAAAGTTAATATTAGCAAAAACATATTTGAATAAAACAAAAGATCTTTTTGGAACTTTTTTCGTAATTGTTTGTAATTAAAAAAAGAAAGCCTTAAGAAACAAAATCGTGCTTTAATTGAAATGTTTTATAAATAATATTTATTTTTTCTTGTTAAAATTATTGTTTGAAAAATAAAAACAATATTAATCGTTCGACTGAATTATGTTCAAATGAAGCAAAATTTTATGTTCAAGCAGTCAATGGATGAGTTTTTTAAATATTCCATTTTGAATAAATTTCTCTTAATTAATTTCAATAACCTACTATTCCCAAAACTGAATACTAAGCTGTTTAGGGATCAAAGTTCCTCCTTTCTTAAGAGGCTGCTTTTAATTATAATCATTTCACATAATTCTTCCTAGGAATAATTTTTTTCCCTCCAGTATCTGTTTTGAAAGCATTGTCTCTGTAATTACGGGAGGAAAAAAAAAACATTATAATATTTTGGACTTTTTTACAGCTTCTTGTTAAAGAAAATAAAAGACTTCTTAATAAAAAATGTTCTTAATTATAATTTACAGCTTATGTTGCTTATTTTAATTGGAATTTTTTTCCCAACCAAGTTTTACATGAGAAGTATTAAATTTTATGCATAAATTATATAATGAGGTTCTTATTAGTTTGGACAAGCATTTTATTAAGTTTGCAATTTATACAGAGTATTCCGTAATAACCTCTTTTTATGTGTATTTTTAGAGTTTTTGTCAAGAGCGAAACAAAAACAAAAAATGTGCATCTTCAGGAGTCTTAAAAATAATACTTTAATAAGAAAAAGATAAAAGCTAAATAGAAATATAAATCACTATTGAGGAAATGGAACTAAAAACGACAAAACCTGTTTGATAGCTGGGGGAAATAAATAAGAGCTGAAATGCGATTGTTAGAAACTCGTAAGTTTTAGCATGCAACCAAACTAGTTTATCTGGTGGTGCCATCTTTCGTGTGAGGTGGAAAATACTAAACTTTTTTGTAATAAGCAGCTCTGTGGTGCTACCATCTACGCGTACCAAGTTTTGTATTAGAATAGTTCAGGGTCTCCAAATGGGGAGTACAGGACTCTGTAAACTCTTCATACGTTGAAGGAAAGTTTTGCATCTTTACGTGCATTTGGCATTTTAAACTATATCTAAATGTTTTTATCGTATTTTCATATTTTATTTACTTTTGTATTTATTACTAATGTAACGTTTTACCAATTTCATGTATTTGCACTTTTTACATAATTTTATTGACTTTTAAATATACCTGTGCATTAAACTTCATGTATTTTATAAAGATAAAATTTTATTACTTTATTGATTTGTTTTAGCGTACTGTGTGACATAGCATGTCCTCCTTTGGATTTTGTGCTCTTAAACCCGACATTCCACTCAAATTAAAATGTTGAAGGAATGGAAGAAATATTGTGGTGTCAACGCAAGGATTCGAATCCTTTCTCAGTTGGCCACGAGTTTTACAGATTGACTATATTATGTATCTAGGAACTAAGTGGTCTAGTACGCACGGAAAAAATTCTGGTTGTTTAACCATATTAGTTGAAAACAGTCAATGAAGAAATTTTTTCACAGTTAACAGTTTGAATGCATTCTTTTTTACTAATAGTATTTGACTGTTTTGGTTGAATATGGTAAAATAGCAGTTAAATAAACGGTTATTTAACTATTTTTCCCGAGAAATTTCCAACTGTGTGCGTAAGAATAAAATTAGCATACTTACCATGTCAACCACTTCTATGTCGCATTTTGCTTGAAGAAGTAAGCTCAGAATTTCAATATGACCTTTGGAAGCAGCCCAATGCACCGGGGTTCGGTCCAGCTGTAGGACATACACGCAATTTTAATATACAGAAATCTAACCATAAGATTTTTAATAAAAAGATCCTATATTTACTATATAATAATTAATTCGGAAGCCAAGATTTACCATTTACTTAATCAACAACTACAAATACAAGTGGATACCTGCAAGTGACGTCATCATAGGTAAATCGTGGCATTCGTTAATTTAGGAGCCAATCAGATTCGACACACGCGCGTGACGTCGTTTAGAGGTATACAATTAAATCTTATTTAAATCACATGGTTAGGCATAATCCCTTCTTTTTCTCGAGTTGCAAAATTAAATCCTATGTGTTACGCATAGGATTTATTTTCAATTGGGTAAACTACAGGTATACAGTAAACTACGTTAGCTTTTTAAATGCTGTGAAATCTATATGTGAATCGGGTGAAAATGAAAGAAGTTATCTTGTATGAGCATGAAAAACGTTGTTCTGAGAAGAAAAGAAAAACGCTATTTTCAGTTTATGATGACTTATTTGATTTATCTCTATGCGTGTAAGTATGATTTTATAAAAAGTTCTAAGTTAAAAAAAGAGTTCCCCTTTCAAAAGGTAATTCGAAAAGTAAAATAACTATAATTAAAAATGGAAACTCATAATTATTATTGTGAACAAATATTTATCGAATAATAGCGATTTTAAGTTTTCTACAAACATTTTTTTAAAATAGAACATGGCAGAATTCCTCCCCCTGTTTGCTTGAAATTTAAAAATGAAAAAAAAAAGTGATTACTTATAAAACTAAAAAGCACTTTCATCAGTAATCGAGATAGGAATCATTCTAACTTTTGCATCAACTTAGCTTATGGTTAACATTTTAGCTGTTTAGTAAATTAATTAGTTTTCAAAATAGAGCTATAAATATAGCAGTATTAAAAATAAAAAAAATCTAAGACACGAAATTCTGTTCTAAAGACTGTCATAATAAAATTGAATCTGCCGTGGCTTCATTTTCGCTTTAAAAAACCTCTAATATGCGAGTTTGGTTTCTAAGCACTTTGTTTTCAAAGGACTTAAAGGCACATTTTAAGCCTATTAATATGTTAGAAACTTTTTAAAATTTCTATTAAACTTGTGAAAAATAATGTATTCTATTTTATACTAAAGCTTTTTGTTGACAGTTATATCCAAAGGGATTAACTCGAAATCTTTAAGCGGGATATTTCATAAGTGCTTCCAGAAAATTCCTAAAGCGAAAAAAGAACTTACACGTGGTATTTAATTTTTACAAATTAAAAATAATATTCTAGGCAAATATAGGGTGATTAAAATTAAATAGGTAGTACTTAGGGACTTCTAGCTCTAGTTCTACTGAACAGATCTGATTGAAACTTATTTATTTACATATTTTTTATAGATTAAGAGGTAGAAAAACTGAACTTTTGAACAATAACCGTCAGGTTTCAAAAAATACCTTGTAATTTTGCCACCAGGTAGCGCTGTAATGTACATCATACGGTTATTCGTAAATATGAACCCAATTTAATTAATTGAAGCGATAAAGAAGAAAAAAACAATGGAAATAAAAATAAAATTGGCCACCGAAGCCGAGCTTCAGGGGGTACCAGCTCTGGAAGCCATAGAACAAAACCTTTTCTATTGAGAGAACGGACAAATGTCAAAATTAGCTTTCTCAGTACCCCGAAGATTTTGAAAAAGTTAAAAATGAAATATTGAGTGTAACTGAATCTAGTTAATATAGTCTCAGTTAATTTTCCCTATAATATGTTCATTTCATATAAATTTTATTTTAGAATGTGTTGCAAGAATTTCTTATAAAACTCTGAAAAGAAGCAGATGATAGTCGGTGGTTTTTGAATAGCAATAATAACATCAATAAGCCATCGACTTTTCATTTGCTTTTTTAAAAAATTTATAAAAAATTCGTGCAAGACATTTTAAGATAAAACTTATATAAAATAAACATAATGTCTGGAAAATTAACTGAGTCAGTAACTTTATCATTGACTAATTAACTGTATCAACTCGATTCTTATGAGTGACACTCAATATTTCATTTTTTACTTTTTCGTGCAAAAGCATAGAAAAGTTGTTCTTTAAAACTATTTTATTCCTTTTTTCTCAGCACTATCCATACACTTTGGTTTTTTTACTCTAGTATTTTCGTTGCTATTATGGTACTAAATCCAGAGAGGTAGAAAGAGCTCTTTGTGACCTGAAAAAAGCGTTACACAGATATTTCATGTTCACTTTGGTTGCTACTTGCAGGGTGACAATTTTTGAACTATATGAATTGAGATCGTCATAACTTCTGAACAGTCTTCCTGATGAAGTTCAAACTTCGTGTTTGGCCGATAAGCATGATGGGAATTAGTATGCTGTTGCTCACTCAACTTGTTGTCAGCCATTTGCAAGTGAAAATGGCACGGTACAGAGTACCATGAGCGTATACCGTGAAGACCTACTATGCTAGCAATAACAGCCCTATTGTGGCTCAAAGGAACTTTGCGACAGAGTTCAGGCGGAAAACAACCTGCCCAAACAAATGTGAAAACGTCGAGAAGATATTGTGTTTCAAACCAGCCCATTGAAATCGATCAGACGAGGTGGGAATCAACCAGGAGACCCAGCGACAAACTGTTGTTGAAGACATGCATCTCTTCCCATAGAAAATTCAAACCCATCAGCCATTAAACTCCACGGTCGTGGGACAGGGGTTATATTTCGCCAACACTATTGTAGAGAGAATTGATGAACAGGAATTTGAAGTGAATATTGTTTGGTTTAGCAACGAGGCCCTCTTTAATTTGGATGGGCTCGTCAATAAGCAAAATTGACGCATTTAGGGGACGGAGAAGAAGCATTTTGCGATTGAGAAGTCTCTCCACCGTCAGAGGGTGACTGTGTGGTGTGCAGTATTCAGTCACGGAATAATCAGGGGGATATTCGTTGACAGCACAGTGACTACTGAACGATGCATAAAGGTTTTGGAGAATAAATTCATCCCGATCATCCAAAGTGCCCCAGGTTTCGACAAGATATGGTTCAAGTGAAACAGATCTCGATCCCATGGTACAAAGAGAGAGTTCAATGTCCTGGAGGAGCACTTTGGCGACTGCATTCTAGCTTTGGGGTACCCAGAGGCCACTGAAATGGGAGTTGCTTGACCACCTTATTCTCCGGATTTGAACACATGCGACTTATTTTTGTTGGGCTATATTAATGAAAATGTAAAGAAATAAAACCCCAAAACCATTGCTGAACTGGAAACTGCCATTCCGGAGGTCATCGACAACAACGATGTTCGCCTGTGTCACATCATAGCCAATGATAGCAGGCATATCGAACGAGTCATAACCTGAATACGAACATCGGTAGTGTCATGTACATGTTGAATAAAGTTTGAGCACTCAGTTGTTCTTAAATAATGTACGTTTTATTTCATATAGTTCAATAATTGTTACTCTGTTGTAGTTGGCCGTGTTACTACGAAAGCGGTACATATTGGCCATTTATGGCCTTTATTAAAAAAAGAGAGAAAAAAACAAGTAAATGCATGTTATAACTGTTAAGAGATCATGGTAATCACAAATTCTCGAAAAAATGGTACATCGTTAATTTATTACACCGTTAAATATCGTTTCTTTGACTTTGTATTTCTATGATTTTTAGATTTTTGTTCGTTTTTTAGATTTTTGCCGTTTATTTTTGCGCATTATGACCTCGTCTGACTTTTGTACCATGAACTCGACATTAGATTCATTGCAAAATTATTATTTAATTCTATCAAAATCTGTTTGTAAAATCATTAAGGCAAATGTTATACAAAATAAAAAATTTAAAAAAAAATTGTCGATTATATTTATGCAAATAAATTAATAATTAATTTTATGTAACTTTAAATTTGTTTTTAGTTTATAAGGTTTTAATTCCTTTTTTCTTATTATAATGTTGAAACTTTTTAAACAGGTTTTAAATATATTTTTAGCATTTAAAATAAGCAACAGGAGTTGAGATTCAATTACACCTCAAAAAGACAACATTTTACTCTACGTGCATCACAGACAAGCAATATACATTTCATATTTTAAAACAAAAATAAATTTCCTTTTGCAATTTGCAGATTGAAATTTGAAGAAACTTTCAATATGAATCAGAAATGTATTTCAAAGTCTTGCGTGAAATAAAACATTAACTCATTTTATTGAACTATCTTGAAAGTCATACATTTATATTCACTAACGCAAAGCTCTCTTTAAATTTTGATTTATGCAAAAATATGTTTAAGAAAAGAAATATCCAAATTTGGAAAGCTGAAAATCCATTTAAAAGACGATAAAAAATTTAACAGCGTTTTAAAAAATAACAATTTATTCATACAAATTTTAAGCGCTAAAGGGAAAAGCTGCATGAGAAAAATAATAAATACCACATGACCCTTTTAGTTGAATTGTAAGGAAAAATGTAACGTTCAATGTAAACTGCAAAATGGAATACAAAGTATAAATTATTTCCGAAACGCTCTATTTTAAAGGTTGCTATTTTTGTTCTTCCTTATTATAAAAATAAATTTTAAAAAATGAAACCATATCATATTTCAAAAGGAGCGTTTTTGATTTGGGAGTAGTATCTTTCTTAATTTAATAAATGGGTATATATCAAAAGTTATATGCTTAAATATATTGTTGGTATATGCTTAAAGATGTATCTACTAACGAATACTTTAAGCATATTTTTCGGAGACTTTATTAATAATATTGAGTAAATATCTAAAACATATATTGACTGAATCGCCGACCGGCCTGTGTACGGGGTAGGGAACTGTCCTTGCATCAGAAAGGTTCTGTGTTCGAATCCCGGTCAAGGCATGGATGTTCTTTCCTTCTCTGTACTATCTGTCCTCACTGTGGGAGCGACGTTGGCGCATCTAATATGGCGCCCCTGAAAGAGAGGCCAACAAAATCGCCCTGTATATGCCTGAATTGACGGATGTTAACACAGGTGGACATTGGGG